TAGTAGTTTTTTCTGTAATATTATTCCTGATTGAGGTAATATGACTGTGTACCTATAACATTCTTTTTTTTAGGAATTAAATAGAATCAGTTTAGGTCATATCTTATGTGATCCTTCAATAAATGCAACAGTTAGATCTTTAGCTCGTGCTGCACACGGTGAAAAAGTATCATTAAACGATTTGGCTCCAGGAGAATTTGATCTTCTTTTGGGTAAGATGAATAAAAAAATTCAATGATTATTTTAGTATTTCAAATCTATATTTTCAAGTTATTTTTTGCTCGAATTCATCAATTAACTGTTGTATCTGTGCTTGTTGACAGTCAATTAATCAAGAACTCTTTACAAAAAATGAAGCATGACATCAAGAAGAGAAAATCCTCGATTAGATCATCCGTTACTTTATCAAAACAAGAACTTCGATGATAGTTCAACGCTTATCATCATTGAATAACGAGGAAAATTATGACTACGACAATGAAATTTGAAATATAGCTTTTTGGTGCTCGTTTTCTCTTTTATTTTTGTCTAACTTTTTGCTCTTTATGTGAAATCGATGTATATTTTTATTACTTTTTGTTTACGCTTTTGTGTATTCATTTGAACCTCATAATAAAAATATAATAGTAACGAAGGAAAAGAAGCACATTAATGTAAAAACGCCTTATTTGTATCACAAGAATCAATATGGAACCTCAAGAAAAAGATTCAGGCAAGAATTCAAGAAACAAGAATCATGTAAGAATGGCAAGGAAAAAGAATCAGTCAAGAATACAAGAACACAAGAATCTTGTCTGGCGTTGCATTTCTTGCCTCGCCAGGCAAGATTCGGTCTACACGAATCTTGTCAGAAGTTCAAGATCTGTTTTTTCAGGCAAGAATCTTGTGTAGAAGGAATGGCAAAAGAATCTTACCTGATAACCAAGAAAAATAAGAATCTGGAAAGAACGATGTCAAGATCGTCGACTAGTGATAATAATAGAGAGTAAAAGTAAAGAAACGGTCTTTTATGTTACCAATATAGAAAACTGACACATACAAAGTAGAATTTTCGATATTATTAATATAGAAAAATAAAAGATAAAATTCTTCGTATTACCAATGTAAAAGATAAGGAATTTAAATCAGCATATTCTAATTATATTATTACAAGTGACCAATAAGACGTTATACTAACTTTTTCTATATCGTCTAATTTTCAGTTATAGAAATAGAAATGTATTCAGATAGTACTACTCTGTATGATCGTCATTATCAATGACTAATTCGTCCATAAAATGGAGAGATACTTCTTTTACAGTAGAAATTAGTTAGATACTATTAAATCTTCACTTTTGAACGGATCTGAAATTTTCTTTTGATCGATCTATTTATTCTTTAATGTTGACTCCAGCATCAATATAGTATATTACACATTAGATTTTATCTAATACTAATAGTTCGATTATATAATTAGTTTATTATTTGGTGAATTTTCTTTTTTATTTCTAGATTAAATGGGTATTCTTTTTTATTTTTAGATTAGATAAATTCGAAACTTTTTTAGATTAAATGAATTAATTTTTTTAGATTAAATAAATGTTATTTTTTTAGTTTTAGATTAAATAATTTTTATTATTTTTATGTTTAGATTAGATAAATTTATTTCTAGATTAAATAATTTCTTTTTAGTTTTAGATTAGATATAATTCGAAATTTTTTAGATTAAATCAATTAATTTTTTCTTTTAGACTAAATAAACCTTCAGTTTTTTTTAGATTATTCAAAGGAAAATAAAAGCGAAAAGTATTAATTTTTTCATCTTTGTAAGATTGAGAGTGTGTATGTAGATTGCAAAATTAAAACAGAATTCGGTGATAACCCACATAGTATAGGATTATGTACGATCGTTTACGAAGGTCGTTGCACGTTGTATTTCGCCGTATACGATCGTTTACCACTTTCGTATGCTCGTCCTGGGAGTATGTATCCATCTCATTAGTCGACAGGACATGATCGCCAAAGTAATAACATGGATCGTTTTTCCAACAAAACGAAGTTTCAATTGTAGTCTCTGATTTTAATTTTTATCTCCACATGAAACTATTTTTAGATTATTTGAAAACTTCTCAGAATGTCTGAAAATCAAAGTTCTAACGATTCCAGCAACAGTTCATTCGATGATCGTTCTGAAAGCATGTTATCACCCGTTGCTCGTTTTTGGATGCTTCTTCCATTTGATATACTATCTATTTTATCCACACTAATTGTCCTCTTTTATATTGCTACCAATAGAAAAACACGAAGAAGTATGAAAAATCATGTTCTGGTCATTGTGCTTGGTCTTGGTTTGACTATTCAATTAATTGACGTCCCATTCTATCTCCACTACCTTGTGCACTCTGCCGTTATTTCAGCAAATCCATCGACTTGTCTAATTTGATATTTTGTTGATGTTGGTTTGTACAATGGAGCAATTATTCTTATGGCTTGAATGGCTTTTGAACGATATATTATTGTATTTCATGATCAATGGATATCCACAAGAAAAAAAACGAATTATTACACATTATATACCATTATTTTTGATTACTTTATACATTTTTGCCTATTATATATATTTTTATTTTTTTATCCATGTGAAAATGTCTATGATTATACAGATTTATATTGTGGTTACTCTGCGTATTATCTAAATAACGGAAATTTATATCCATGGGATGTATTTGCTAATAGTATTATACCATCGATTCTTGAACCATTTATTACTTTGGGTTTCCTTGGTCGAGTGATCTGGCAGAAACATCGTACACGTCAACCCATTCAATGGCGTAAACAACGAAAAATGACAATTCAACTATTGGCATTATCCGTTCCGAATTTTTCTCTCAATTTTCCCCTCAGTGTTATTTATATTATTCATTTATGTGGCTTTCCGTCGAACATCGGAGCTGGTGCGATAGCATACATTTATTTTTTCTGCTATTTCCTTACTTTTATATTTTCTTTCATTTGCCTGGTCTCCGTAATCAACGTTAAAAAATTATTTCGAGAAAAACTACTACATCGACGATCAAGACCAGTCACTGGATTCATAGCAACTGTTAAGACAGACGGCTACAGACCCATCATAACCACTCACATTTGACTTGCATATTTTTTTATTTGAATATTATTTTCGATTTTGGCAATGAACAATTAGGAATCATTTTATTCTTTTGATGTTGTTTTTCGCTTGAAAATAAACTTCAACTATAAATGAAAATCACATATAATAAGTAACAAATTATAAAGTTAATATCGTATTTTCATGAATGATTCCAACGCTGAGTGATTTCATTATCGCTGAATAAACTTCAAAAGACGTCTGATTTGTAACAGGTATTATAATAAAAAGGATTAAATTAGTTGTACAAGAAGTAATTTTCTTAATTTTATAATTCACTCTCGTGAAGCAATGGATAATATTTGGGTTTAACTATGAATACAGATGCATATCTGTGCAAATATGACTGTCTTTTATGTTTCTCTTCAATAAGAATCATATACCTATATTCTACCTTGGGTCACAGTCACAAATTCTGTTCACAGTATATATTGGAGGAGAAAGCTTTACTCTACACAAGAATTACTTTAAGTACTAGTTTGCATCATCAGTACGGTTTGTATCACAAGTTATTGCAGCCTATGTTCTTTAAGTTTAGTAGTGAATGAATAAACGCTATAAAGACAATACATAAGACAATCGTAATTTTCTTACTGTGTCAAATCCTAAAGTATTATTTATCAAGAGTTGAAATGTAAACTCATACCGAAAAACAAGTGCAAGCAACCGTAACCCTTAGTTATAACTATTCGTATATTATCAAACTGCAAAAAGAAATTCTTTCATCACACAGTGTTGATGACAGTTCTGTTTTGGGTGAGACTATGGATGAACCTTCATGAAATGTTAATTAAAACCACATTCACGTCTAATTTGTAGATTCTCAACAGATTCTCCAAACTTTCTGTTCTTATAGACTGTATTTTATTGTAAGCGTTTTGTTAAAACAGAAAATTTAATTTCATTCGGATCTACTTTTGCTTGGAATCGCTCTCCAAATGGAAAAGGAGCATATCGTCCAGTATCAATAAAACCCTGCCGTAAACGCCATTCAATTTGATTTCGTTTGCTGCATATTATATACGAATACATTCGTTGTGCATTGAAAATTTCTTTTGCAACTCTCTAAAAAAAGGATTAAAATGTTACTTTTTTTACTCAATTAATGCAGCTCATTTTTCAAGCTTACTATGACACCATTGTACAATAATGTACCAACGCCACGGCTCTGATAATCAGGATCTACAGCATTAAGACCCAATTCAAAAGACAAATCCTGTCTTTCTTCATCACCAATCTGCAGATTTTTGTCATGAATACTAATTTTACAACAACCGACAATCTTGAGTCCCGAAGTTGGTTTTAGTTTTGCGACAAGAAGAACGTTATGCTGCTCATCATCAAGTAACTGCTGAAGTTCTTCGGATGTAATTCGTGCACCTATCAATAAATGTTGTTCACCGATCCAACCAGAGTAACTTTCTCCAGATGAGGTTGCTGAAGGTTTACCTCTATCAGCCCAACTAATTATCTTGCATAAATCTTCTACATCATTTGTGATGCAAAGTATAAGTTAACATCAGCATGTGAAGAATCATCAAAAATTTGCCCTTGTCGAGTACTGTTAGCATTACTCATCATGTAAAAGGTAATACGTAAGGCAAGAATACAATGGTACTATGTCTATGTTGTATAATACCGCAAAACATTTAACAATAAAAATCAGCAATATGAAGGAGACAGATAAGGAAAGAAAAAAAAACTGCTTACAACACATAATATTGCATCATCCTCTGATCCTTTGTTAATCATGACGTTGCTGTATGTGAGTTAGTTTTTTTTTGTTATATATGTAATGCAATGAGATACTTCTCTTATCTCCAAAAAACGATTAATAGGAAAATTAAAAAGGTGGTAATCGACCTTCGCCTCGCTGTCATACTCTTAATTCACTCAAAATTGACGAATAGTTAATTATTTCACGTTGGCTTGAACTCAGATTGTGCGTACCAGTCACAAAAAGAAACGTAATCCATTATTACCATGATAACTACATAATACCTACATTTATTTTTATTGTATTGATTTGGATTGAATTGAGTTAAGTAGTTTTGAATCGTCGAAATCAGTCTAAAATAGAAAAAGATTAGTATTTGATTCAATACATTGAATGATTTTACATAGAAAATCATTCATATTTATAGGTAAAGAAGTGTATTTTTTTCGTCAAACAGTGACGAATAGACGAAATTAATCACACATATCTCTATGTATGTGTATGGATAATATTTAATTGACATACACAATCGCTGTATTATTGGCCGAGGAGAGCAGAAAAGAAAATAAATAATTTCTTTTTTTGCCGTGACCTGTATGTTATTTTTATCCTACTCTCTCTTTCAAGCTCATTTATGTCTACACGAAGGAAACGATAAACATGTTTCTATTTTAAAAAGAAAGGTAATACTAAGATGCACAAATTTCTATTTTTATATCACATAAATATGTAATCTATGTAGGGATAAAGAAAATATAATAAACAGTTAGAGTAAATTGAAGAAAAGAAATAAAAGATATGAATGGTGATTTGAGAGAAAAATAAATGAGGAAACCTCGGATTTAAATCCGAGTGTTATGTGTACTTCAAAAAGTCAAGAAACGATTCCTTAACCCAATAACTTTTGTTCAGAATTTTCAAAATCTGACTTCAGATTTGGATTCACCGACCCCGATTTACTTTCGTCAACCTTTATATAATTTCGTTATTTTCTTAAAAAACCCTTCCTTTCATCCAAAAAATGGAGTTCAAAATTTTCAAAATCTGACTTCAGATTTGGATTCCTCGACCCCAATTTGCTTTCGCCAACCTTTATAAAAATATCGCTATTTTCTCAAAAAACCCTTCCCTTGGCCCAAAATTTTCAGCTAAATTTTTAATGCTTTATATACCATTTTGTAGTTCGTGAAATTCTCTATCGAACGGTGTATAATAGTTGGGGTTTCATTTGACTATGATAGGAAAAGTGTTTTACGAATGTGGAGATAGGTCGATTTTCCTATAGGCAGCCTTAGGGTAAAATGGGTATTTTTTCAATAACTCAGGAACGGCTCGGCCAATTCTTCTCATCTTCGAACTCGACCGAGATATTGTTGAGACTAAACTGTGTAGAAAATTTCATCGCGATTGGACTCTCCTTTCAAAAGTTATCGTGTTAACGGCCGGACGGACATACTGACCGATTCTAGAGTGTACTCACTTTTTGAGTACACAAAAAGAAGACGTGTAATAATTTTCAGATAATTTTACATAAAATTGAGAACGAAAATTTTTAATCAATAAAAGAAATGAAATGAAGATAGATCGAATCGTTTATAGAAAGTTCTTTTTTTTGGAAAGACTTTTAATTAATTTTTCGAACGACAACACACCCATGCACCGTCTGTCCATTGACAACTATAGGAAAATGATACGCATATCTAGACGACAAAGCTTTCTTATTGACCTTGCAATTATAGAAAAATAAGAATTCTTGTCCTGTGACGAAAGCAAATAATATTTTATGATCATTATGCAACAAGTAAACGATGATAACATTATCATGAAAATCATATTGAAATAATTGCTCTTTCAGAATTATATAATCGACCGATTGAGGTTTACGAATATAGTATAGTTTAATATGAAACATTAAGAAGAATTGAATAATCTAATATGTATCTTTCTGTTGTTATTAATTCGTTTGAATTTTCATTGTGGTGTTCATTCTAAATTCAATAATTGATCCTTGGATTTCCTGATCTTGAACCAGAAGTATATAATTTATAACAATAAATTTATTTTTAATACATATAAATTTATTCTCTCTTATTTTAGCGTGCCCAAGAAGCACTCATACAAACGACGTTGTGGCAATCTGAAGAGAATCATATTTACAATGATTATGTGATATTAATCAACAACATAAAGATAATAGAATGGTTCGTTACTGAATCAATACAAAGTTCATTAAGAATTTTGTATTGTCTTAGATTCTTATTAAGATTTTACGATGAAGATTTTTTTTTTAAAGTAAAAATGACAGATAAATTATTGAACATCTTTTCGAACTCTTCAAGTATTAGGTAGGAATTCTTAAGAAATTCACTCAGAAATTAAATAATTCTGCAAAAGATAATAGGAATTCTTTCAAATATGAATAGATAAAAGATTATCTGTATGATCGATGAACTTAACTCAAATTCTAAAAATAAATACAAATAAAATTTTTTTTCATGTTAGATGGTTTACCAAAAAATCTATTACCATCAAATTATGAATGTGATCCTTCGTCAAATTCTGGTATATGCTTTAAATTTAAATCTTTTATTTTGTATGTAATATTCAATATTTTAGATCTCGATGATGATTCCTTAATGCGACAAGTTCTTGCCATATCTCAAATTGAATATGTTGAAATATTAAAGAAATAGCAAGAACCTCCGAAATCAGATAGTCTAGAAGAATCCTCATCATCATCAGACACACATCTTTTGTAGAAAATATTTTTCTTTGTTAATTTATATTCTACTCGTTCTATCCTACTGATATTTTTGAAAAAAAAGCAATATAAAACGTATACGAACAGGTAATACGTGTGATACATGTTGAAGATTTTTGTTTCCTTTTTTTCTTTCTCATTTCTCTTGCGTTTATGTCAATTATAATGATGAGATATGGTCGAAGTTAACACGTGAATAATTTATTCAACGTTGAAAACAACTAGAAAAACATGTTGAATAACTAAGAAATACGATTAGTAAAAGAATTGACAATGAAACAAATGAGCAAAAAACAATAAATCGATGAGGCTATTTAATTTTAGTAAATTTTCTAAACGATATATATTTTTAAACTGAATTACTTTTTTATCAATTTATTCTTTCAATTGTTCATCAAGACCATGTCTAGCTACCATAACAAAAGCAAAAGATTATATTTAACAAAAAAAAAAAATAATTTAATAGATATTTTACTTGGAAAAGAAAAAATAAACCTAATAACAATTATTCTGATTACATTGTCGAAGACGTTTAACATGCTTTTCAACATCGCCTAATAACATTGCAATTTGAAATTGTTTAGTGCAATCTAATTAATTTTGAAAACAAAAAATAAATTAATATAAATATCAAAAAAACAAAAACAAAATTTACATCAATGTTTCGACATTCCAGTGCTACTACAAACCTTGTTTTTTTCATCTTTTACAAAATGAAGTGCAACTTCAGGATAACCTTTTTTTTGAACATAATCAATTATACTTTGTTCAACTAATTTAGCTATTCGAACCATATGAGGTACCTAAAATAATTATTTTAATAATATAATAAATTTAATTACTTTATATTCAGTTGGATCAATATCTAATAAGCGTAGTTGAACTTCTCTATTCAAACAAAAAAACACTATTTCCTTTTGTTTTTTTTGTATAAATAGATAAATCAAATGTACGAATAATTCTATCATCACCATTAACAAGTGCATATTTAATATGATTTGATGTTGTATAAATAAAAACTTCCGAATCTCATCCTAAGCACCTGATTTAACAGGAACATTTTCTTGTATAATACATAATTGTTCAAGTTTTCGATTACAAATAACAAGTTGATGTTTAGCTAATAATGATAGTTAATTCATACCATTTGATCATATTGCAGATTTAGCTTTTCCTATTCTAACACTTGCTAATGAACGGTTTTTGTTGAGCATCACATAAACTAATATGATCATTTTCACGTATTACTAAAAGACCAGTACCAGCATAAAATATTTCTTGTTGAAATGTCAATTAACTTACGACATGATTTTTATCAAGAACAACAAATCGGTTTCTAGCAACTCATACGACATTTAAACCAGATGAACGACGATCTTCAGGAGCTAATCAATATATATAAAACAATATTAGAGATTTATTTAAATTATCAAATAATAACGATAAATATATTTTAATATATATTCTAAATGTCAGACAGATCATATTTATCATGATTCTTTCTTTTTGTTTTAATAGTTCAATATTCTTTTGCATTTTCAAAGGTCAATCAACAATTCTTTATTCATTTTTTTGTTATCTATCAATATTTTATAGTTTTCTTATCTTAATTTTATTGATTTACCTCAATTAAAAATAAATAAAATCTTACCATCTGGAATTTGTGACATGTGTTGTTAATAATATTGAATTTTCAGCTCGATTATATGATATTGAATAATATAGAGCACGTGGACCACTTTACAAGTTTTTATATTTTATTAATTAGAAAATAATAAAAATATAATTTACCTTTGTAATTGCATAAGTGGAATATCTTTTGATGTTGTGATTTCTAATCGTCGTAAATATTTTTCTTTAACATAATAAATAATATTTCTAACAACGGCATAAACTAGTCTTTCACATTCTAATTTAAAAACTATCCTTCCATTAACATGACCTTTAATATAAATTTAATGTCGAATGACTTTTTAAAATCCTAAATCAATCATTTTCATGTCTAAATGTATTTATTGCTACTCTAAAAGATTTAAAATAAAAAAAATAAATTTTTAAATAGATGATTTTACTTCAAAAATAGAAAAAACCTTTTTGTCATATTCCTAACTCGAATTGATTTATCTTCAACATTCGATAAAATAAAATCTTGTCTTTCATGAAAAATAACACAAAAAACATTATTAAAATATCCACGACATGTGTCAACTTCCCAAGTTTTATTTTCATTCATATGCCATTATTTAACAATACGATCATCAGTTGCTGTTACAATTAGTGGTAATGTTGGATGAAACGTTGCTCAATTTACATTACGATTATGTCCTTCCAAAACATGTTTTACTATGGCATCAGCCTAAATTATTTTATTTTTTAAGAACATGAGACAAAAAAGAATCAGAATCATTTCTATAGAACATAAATTTATTTCGATATTTTCTAATTTATATTAAAATAAATTATTTTTCTTTAATCTATAAAAATGATAATTATTGAAAAATAAAAATAAATATTAAAAACTCACTTGTCCAAATAAATCTAGTGTTACAATAGTACGTTGAATTTGTGATTGGATTATATCTGGTGTTGAATAAACATTTTTTTTCTTTAAACCACAAATATTCTAAACTCGAACAGTTTGATCAAGTTATGCTGATACAATAAGATCATCAGTTGGATGAAATTGTGCATACAGTCATAACACAAACACATTGTCTTGATTGCCAATTCCAAATACGAATTGTTTAATCATCACTTGCTGAAATTATCCATGAATATTTATGATGAAAAAATGTTATACGAATATAATCAAGATGATTCAATAATGTCAATAAACATTTACGTGTTTTATAATTCCAAACTTTTATTTAATAATCATCTCCACCACTAACAAAGAATGGTTGAGCATGATGAAAATGTATACCACGTACAGGACCATCGTGTCCATCAAATTTATCAATTAATGTTTTCATACGATAATCCCATAATTGAATAATAGTTGAATGAAGTGATGCTAATATCCATGGACGTTTACTGTGAAAGTTTAAACCTTTCACACATGCTGAGTACGATTCAAATGTAGTTAACATATCTAAAACTCAAAATTCACATATTCATTTCGCAACAGTGAATCATTATACTAGTACGAGTTCTTCAATTTAGATGTAAAATTAAAAATAAAGAAAAAAAGTGACTATTAAAATTGCAAATAAAATAAATCAAAATGATTGTGAAAATAACTGGAATGATGAGATAATATGAAAGTAATACAATTGATCCTTTTGCATAATAAAATAAAAATTCATCAATAATTTGCCAAGAATTTCGATCATCATCATATCGAATTGGACAATCATCATCTTAATGATTTTTCTTTTTAAAATATTTAATTAAATTAAAAGATATTAAAAAATACTTACATGTACGTTCTGCTTGTTCAAGTTCTATTTTTAAATCAGTTCCATCTTCTGCCGTATAACTTTGAGATGTTTGATTAAAACCACAAAATGAATCAGCTGATCTTGATCAATAAATTTTAAAATAATCAATTCTTTCATAAATTTGCATCATTACTAAAACTTGTCCATGAACAAACTTCATAAAGTCGATCTCGTTTTGAAAGATCATCATAAACATTTGACATAAATGATTTTAATTTTCTATATCTTAATATATTATGATGACGAGATTTAAAATCGAAACAAACATAATATGAAAATCATTCTCCTGTTGTAACTGATTTAATTAAATATTGTTGTCGACTTCTTTGTTGACAAACATGAAAAGTTTCTCTTAACCAATGCCGATTATTAATTCGTGCTATTTCATGTATATGTGTTGAATTAATTATTGTTTTTGCATCAATATTAGCTGTATTTATCCAATCACCAGTAAAATTAGCAGGAAAAAGACAAGTTGCCGTTGGAACTTCTGGAATCATGGCTGTTATGATAACTTTTTCTGGTTCATATGTTGGTGAAAAAAGTCGAGCACATTCAGCAAATAAAAACTTGGTAAACCATCTTAGTTGGTCTTGTCTTGTTAACATACAACGAAATTTATCGTACCAACGTTCTGAACTAACACGTTCATTAGCAATACTAGTAAATATATCTCCTTTTTCATTAATCCAATAACCCAAACATTGATAAAGTGATTAAGCATCAATTGATGAAACAAGATCACGACAATAACCATATCTCATCCAAAAATGTTCATTAACAGCTTCAAAGAGTGTTCCAGGATCAGGACAAGATACTAAACGTGATATTGAATTATCAGAAATACGAATACCACCTTCACGAAATTCATATGTAAAATGATATGTTTCATAAAGGATGTTGGCGTGGGTGTATGTGTGAGTGTGGGGTGTGCGTATGGTAGAGATGAAGATTCACATCCACCCACACCCACACTCTACTTCGAGAAATCAAGAGTACTCAACTTTTGAAACCTTCGAAAAATTGATTGGAAATGCAAAGCAGAGAATTTCAAAAATTATACAACCTCTTAATATAACCCTATTGAGAAATAATTACGATTGGTACACAGATTTTTCAAAATTCATTCCAACATGTTTATCAAAAAACATCGAATGCAAAGTTTCAACTAAAACAATATCAAAAAATGGTATTAATCGAATTATTATTTCTATACAGTGGCGATGAAAACTGCATGACTATGTCTATGTGATTAGTTTCAAGAAGTTATCTTTTCATTTCAATTCACTATTATTTCATTTCTAAGTAGTTTGAAACTAAAAATATGTACACGTATATTCTTTTATATTAAGAACATTTTTGCAAATAAAAAACTTCATTTCTGACAACAGTTTTTTCTGTAACCTATTTATAGAATGACATCGTCTAAACAACCTGCGGTTTTTGTTACTCATGGAGCTGGTCCTTGTTGGTTCATGGACAGTAATGATTTTTCGTCATTTGCTGGTATTGATAAAAATAGTGCTGGTGCAAAATGGTTTAGATAGTTACCTCATCAGCTTGGTCAAAATGAGTACAATAAACCAAAAGCAATTTGGTGTATCACTGCTCATTGGGAAATTTCTGATGTCATAAACATTAGTGCACAAAATCAACATACTGACCTATATATTATGATTATAGTGGCTTTCCAATAGAAACGTATGAACTAAAAATTCAACCTAAAGGTGATCTTCTATTGTCTCAGAAAGTTTCCGATTTACTGAAACAATCAGGTTTTAATGCAGTATTAAATTCTAAACGAAATTTTAATCATGGCGTCTTTATTCCATTAAAATTGATCTATCCAAATGCTGATATTCCCGTTGTTAGCATGTCTATTCTCAGTAACTATTCACCAGAACAACATATTGCTATAGGCAAAGCCTTATCACCTTGACGAGAACAAGGAATATTGATAATTGGATCTGGATCAATCACACATGAACGAGCTTCTCGAGCACAAAGCCACGTGTTTGTTGATGCAATCACAAATATTTTGCAAACATGGTCACCAAATGATAGAGAACAAGCATTGATCAATTGAACTTCGCTACCATACGCTCGAGAAAATCATGGTCATAAAGATCATTTGATTCCATTACATCTGATTGTAGGAAGATCTTGCAATAATGATGACTTCTCTCTATTGATACAGTTACTTCTCAAAAAGTAATAAAAAATAACTTGAAATTTTCAGCAAATAAATAATATAATCAGTTCTTCAATATCAGAAAACTGAACTTATATTTATTGATTTATGTGAATTCTCACTGAAATGAAGTCGTTACTCAGTGACAGATATACATATGATGAATTTATTTTTAGAAGCAACTACAAAAAGCTAACAATTCTTTGATTTGTTCGTTCATACCCATCAACTCATCGAAAAAGAGATAAAAACGGTGACCATGTTCCTTTTTAAACTTCTTAGAGAGAAATAAATACCTTGCAATTTGTGTTCTTTTTTTCTTCATTATTTTAATCATTATTCTAAAACTAACAATAAACATCCAATTTCAACAAAAGATACCAATTATAATTTTCATTAACGTTCTTATCATCATCTCTTAAAAAAACTAGTCAATTAATATAAGACATATGTAATGTACAGATATTTAAAATATCTTTCTTGTTTGTCATTACACATCCGATTGTCGTTTCTCGTGCACAAAAAAACAATGAAACAAAACAAATAAATTTATTCAAAATAACTTTTTTAAATTTATATCAAACTTGGCAATTTTTCCAACAAAGCCTTGTAGATAATTTGTATGAATGACTAAGAAAAGAAGAAAGACAGTCAAAAAACAAAGAATAAGAAATAATACTTTTTTATGTCATCATTAAATAATACACCATATATGAAGCAACGAAATGTTTGGAAAAGCGTTTAAAAGAACATGAAAATGAATATGCAATTTACATACAATTTCATATTCTTGTTGGAATATTTAATGTTAATGATCGACAAGTACGACCAGATATTCTATTTGAAGAATGACTTAGTTATGTCACAGACAATGATCATAGACCACATATTGTCCCAGATATAATAGCTGTTGGTGGTTTTCAAGAAATTGATACAAGCAGTAAAGCATATATTTATGATGATGAAAATAAAGAAGATGAATGGAAACAAATTATACGAAGAACTATTAAATTTTGTTATAAAGCATTAAAAAAATGATAATGAAAAATTTTGATTACTCAATCGCATTAGACTTGCGGATTAGTGAAAAAAATTGAATAGTTTTTAAAATTATTACCTGCAGAAAAAACAGAATTAATTAAATATAAAAAAACAATATTTCTGGAATTTATGGTTTATTGTCAAAGAGATTTATTAGAGTGAGTTTTCAGATGAGTGACAATTTTAATTTGTGTTCATAGGTTGCTTCTATTCTAATTTAAATCCTAATGAACTTGAAGTACTTCAAAATAGACTGTTTGTTTTTAGTTACCTAAGTTTGAGTCTGCGACAGTGAGATGAGATAAGACTCAGAAAGATTCTTGAAATAATTAATAATTTATTCATGGATAAGACATATTAAACCCTAAATTTTTTTACATTTTCTTTTTATTTTCGAACCTTCGTTTGCTTCAGTTCTTACTATTTGATAATGAATGTAGTTAGCATTTTTTCTCTTTACTTAGCTACAAATCAGAATTATTGAGTGGCTGTTTTAAATAACTCTGAAAGAAAAAATGATTATATTTTGCTTCAAAAATGCTTCACAATTTAAATTAACCAAAGGCATGAAGTCTTTCCAAGGTATTTTGAGTTCATTAAGGCCTACATGGTTTCGCTAGATTGAAGTTAGTTTGATTGTAGTATAGTTATTTGCCATACAAATGTATCAGCAGTCGAACGAACGTTTAGGTGAAGGCAAAAACGATATACTAGCTCATACAAAGTATTTATTATAAAACTTTATTTATTCAAGCAAATTGGAAACTTATGTATTTTCTATTGAATTCTTTTCTAGAGAAAAATAATATTAACATTTAAGGAAAATAATATCAAGAATTTAGACAAATTTTCAAGTTGTAGAAAATCTCGAAAATCATATAAAAACTAAAAAAAATTTCTTTTTTTCTCTTTAAGACCTGATGATAACTAAACGATAGAAAATTAAATTTTTCAATATTTTCATCACTTTTTTAATAGTTAATGATATAGATCATATATTTATAAAGAAATAAATAGGAAGCTTAACCTCAAAATATATTTATAAGGTATTGAAAAGTTTCATAAAACAATAAGGAATCAATAGGTATGCGGATTTTGCATTTCTGAAAAGACGACACTCGCCAAGTCTGAAGCCTAAAGAGATAGGAAAATAACAAACATTGCAATCACAGCATAACTACGTAGTTCGCACTACCAGAAATAACTCTCCTCAATCTGAAAAGCTCGTTGTATCATCATCAACTACAGAGCACCCATCGATTAATTTAGAAGATGTCAATATATTGGAAAGTGCCTTCAACATCATTTGGACTAAACAGGGGTGTTTGGGTGTGGGTGTGGGTATGGGTGTGGGTGTGGGTGTGGGTATGGGTGTGGGTGTGGGTGTGGGT